TTCCCCTTTTTTTACCTTCACAACAGTCTCTAGCAAAGAGTCAAGATGGCTGTGTGTATGATGTTTTACCTAGCATAAGCTAGCTGGCTCTAGGTTCAGCGGTACTTGATATTATTTTACATCATATTTTACATCTTCTGCATCAGGAGAGGTTTAGACTGGACATTAGGAAAAATTTTTTCACAGAAAGAGTGGTCAAGCATTGGAACAGGCTGCCCAGAGAGGTGGTGCAGTCACCATCCCTGGAAGTGTTCAAAAAACAGGTAGACGTGGCAGTTTGGGACATGGTTTAGTGGGCATGGTGGTGTTGGGTTGATGGTTGGACTGATGATCTTAGAGGTCCTTTCCAATCTTAATGATTCCTAGTTTTTAGTTTCATTAAAAAATAATGCAGCCACCAAGCCAGGAAACATGAAATTATTACTCTACCCTTAATTTGTTTAGTGGTGGACTTGGTAGTGTTAGGTTAATGGTTGTACTGGATGATCTTAAAGGTCTTTTCCAACCTAAACGATTCTATGATTCTGTGATCATCAGGGTAGAATAATGGAGTGGCTTTTCAGCATGCTATTAATTAATTTTTCCTGATGCTCATAAGTCACTTATTAGTTGTTTTTAGGTTTACTGTTCAAAGTGAGTTTCTGGGCTTCAGTCTCCCTTCTTCTGCAAGCTGATAAAGGGAAAGACAGAGTTGATGTTCTGTGGACTGTATCTATTTCCCTTTACACAGAGGAAAGAGAGGCCAGTCAGAGCCATGTGTGTCGACTGGCAGCAATGGAGGGAAGCTGAGATGTCATACGTTGTTTGGGGAGAGAAGTGGAATAAGGCAGCTGCAGGTGTTGAAAGTTTGGGAGCATAGACTTTTGCTGAGATGGTTGGGCAGGAGTGGAAGGGTTGATGTCTGGTCAGTGAACTGTTGCTTTTCTTTTCAGGGCATCTGACTGGAAACTGGACCATCCTGACTGGACAGGGCGGCTTCGTGTCACCTCCAAAGGCAAAACTGCATACATAAAACTGGAGGATAAGGTTTCAGGTAAGGGAAAGGCTGTGGCTTGGCAAAGACTGCGCCTGTGATTGCTGCTTATGAGCCTGTGCTTCTAAGCCTGCTCAGAGCTGTGCATGGCAGCCCTGGCCATGCTTTAGCAAGCGGTTGCTCTCCTTAACACCCAGTTCTCTGTCTGCAGGAGAACTCTTCGCCCAGGCTCCTATAGATCAATACCCTGGCATTGCAGTAGAGACTGTGACAGATTCCAGCCGCTATTTTGTCATTCGAATTCAGGATGGGACTGGTGAGTTGAGGGGTCATGTATGTGCCAAGTGTTAGGGGTGGAGGAGACTTAGCCTGTTGGAGCTGGGTGTATGCCAGGTGGACTGAAATGGTGTTGGGAGTGCTGAAAAGTCTGGGTGATGTGCCTGGAGGGGTAGGAAGGGAAGGTTAACAAAGGAGGGTTCTCTATGTTGCACAGAGTCCAGGGGGCTGGGAAGGAACATTCAGTTTCTGAGAGTGCTGCATGGGAAAAAGGGTGCATCCTGAAGACTAGGACCAATGAACTTCTGTGAGCTGCTAGTGTCCAGCTGCAGATGTGTCAGAGGGAGGTAGCACAGAGTGGTTTAGGAGAAACAGAAGGATTTTGGAGTGAATGAGCACAAGGGCCCATTTGCAGGGCACCTGCAATGACTCCTCCTGTCTCCTTGCTAGGACGAAGTGCTTTTATAGGCATTGGCTTCACGGATCGTGGTGATGCCTTTGACTTCAACGTCTCTTTGCAGGATCACTTCAAGTGAGTTGTGCTTTTCTGGAATGCTGTTTTTCCTCTGGCCTGTAGAACTTGGCGGGTGGTGGTGCATGTTCATTTAGTGCAGGCTTCCTTGGGATGGTCATGAAGCCCTACTCTGGCTTCATCAGGGACACTTGAGTGTGCTGCCAACTGCCATGCAAGCTGAGAGTCCTGTAGGGTCAGATCTGTAAGTCTTAAGCTTAGGTTCTGTGATGCTACAGGTGCAGAGTTAGTCTCCTGGGTTTGTGGTGGTCCCAGCTTTTTGCTGTACTACACTGGGAGTAGGGAGGTAGCTGGTTTGTTAAGACAAGGTAGTTCTTTGGCAGGGTGGGGAGAGGAACCATGTGTTTCTCTGAAACCCTGTTTGCCTTTGCCACAGCGTCTTATGTCTTCCTCTCTTCTTTTTAGGTGGGTGAAGCAGGAGACTGAGATCTCCAAGGAGTCCCAGGAAGCTGACACACGTCCCAAATTAGACTTAGGGTTTAAGGAGGGGCAGACCATCAAACTGAACATTGGGGTAAGCAGCCCAGTTTACCCTGCTTCTTTCTCTGGATATGCCACTGGAGACTATTCTTCACTTGTCCTTTCTTTTTATACAGAACATGACGACAAAGAAAGGAGGAGTAGCCAAGCCCCGTGTGTCTGGATCAGGGGGCCTAAGCCTGCTACCACCCCCACCAGGAGGCAAAATTGCAGTCCCTCCTATACCTCCCCCTTCTTCCACAGCCATTGCCAACCATGTCACACCACCACCCGTGCTGAAATCCAGTAACGTGAGCAGTGCAGGTAAACATTACCATAGAGCAAACTGTCAGACACTAGTAGGTGCATAGAGAGGACTGAGGCCTGCTTCAGGCAACTGGTGTTCAATCTAGTGCCAACAGTGCCCTGTGAGACATGATGTGTCCTGAGGGCTTTGCTCTCTTTGACCTGAGGATCTCCATGCTTGTTTAATAGTATCTGCTTGTTGTCCTTGCAAGGAGGACAGCGTTGTAGCTCCTGTCCTTGCAAAAGGAGAAACCAAGTGACTTGATGAAAATGATCTGGGGGGGTGGGGGGAGGTGGATGAAATTTAAATAGTTGGATTTTTCTGAACTTGTAGGTGCTTTAGGGGCACTGGCAGACCTCTGTAGGGTGTCCAGAAAAGTACTGCAGTCACTTGCTTTCTGCAGAAAAGTATAGATAGACTTGTGGTTGTTGTTGAAAGATGCAGGAAAAACACTTCTTGAGTGGCTTTGAATAGGGAGAGAGGAAGCTTTAGTATGAGCAGCAGAAAGAGGTGCAAAGTATAGTGGGATTGTGGGTATAGTGGGTTTTTTAAAATATATGTATATAATTATATACTATATATATAAAAAATTA